TAGAGAGCCCACAAAAAAAAACAAAAAGCTTCCTTCTTTTCGATCATCTAAATCAATGGCAGGAGGATCTTTTGTAGCCGAGAGTGGTCATGGAGGAGATTCTTACGAAGGCCGCGTAACCGTATTTGTCGTCATTACCTGCATGGTAGCCGCAATGGGAGGTCTTCTCTTCGGTTACGACATCGGTATCTCAGGTTTGTTTCAAGAAACCAAGATTCTCCTCTGTTTTTATCTCTGTGCTTCTTTCTTTTAATGGTGGATTTATGTTATCAGGAGGAGTGACATCAATGGAGGAGTTTCTAACGAGATTCTTCCCCGACGTGCTTCGTCAAATGCATCACGATACAGGGAAAGAAACAGAGTACTGCAAATACGACAACGAGCTTCTTACTCTCTTCACCTCCTCTCTCTACCTCGCCGCGCTATTCGCATCTTTCCTCGCTTCGACCATCACAAGGCTATTTGGCCGGAAGATCTCAATGATGATCGGAAGTCTCTCTTTTCTCTCTGGAGCTCTTCTCAATGGTTTGGCTATCAATCTCGAGATGTTGATCATCGGGCGGTTACTTCTCGGTGTTGGCGTTGGATTCGCTAACCAATCTGTTCCTCTTTACCTCTCTGAGATGGCTCCTGCTAAGATCCGAGGAGCTCTCAACATTGGTTTCCAATTAGCAATCACGATCGGTATCTTGGCTGCGAATATTGTCAACTACGCAACTCCGAAGCTCAAGAACGGGATCGGATGGAGATTATCTCTCGGTTTAGCTGGAGTTCCGGCTCTTATGATGCTCGTTGGATCGCTTTTCTTGCCAGAGACGCCAAACTCAATCCTCGAACGTGGAAACAAAGAAAAGGCTAAGACGATGTTGCAGAAGATCAGAGGAACTATGGATGTTGAGCATGAGTTTACCGATCTTTGCGCGGCCAGTGAGACCGCAAAGAGAGTTAGGCATCCATGGATGAACATATTTCAAGCTCGGTATAGACCGCAGCTCACGTTCTGCACATTCATCCCATTCTTCCAGCAGCTAACCGGGATCAACGTCATCATGTTCTATGCACCGGTCTTGTTTAAGACCATCGGTTTTGGAAACGATGCATCTCTCATATCCGCAGTTATTACCGGTCTTGTCAATGTCCTAGCCACCATCGTCTCTATCTACTCCGTTGACAGATTCGGACGCAAAGCTCTCTTTCTCGCAGGTGGTATCCAGATGATCTTGACACAGGTGCGTACAAACATAGAAACAAAGAAAATGCTCTGTTTTCAAAAACAGAGTATCATGCTCTGCTTTTTAAAACAGAGTAAGTAATGATGATTCGTTTTTGGTTTGGTTTCAGATCGCTGTCGGGTCGATGATCGGATGGAAATTTGGACTGAATGGCGAAGGGGACTTATCAACGGTCGATGCGGATATAATCTTGGCGTTGATATGTCTCTATGTGGCGGGTTTTGCGTGGTCATGGGGACCGTTGGCATGGTTAGTGCCGAGTGAGATATGTCCATTGGAGATAAGATCGGCAGGGCAGTCGTTGAACGTTTCGGTGAACATGTTTTTCACTTTCGTAATCGGACAGTTCTTCTTGACGATGCTTTGTCACATGAAGTTTGGTTTGTTCTACTTCTTTGCGGTCATGGTCTTGATCATGACGATTTTCATTCACTTCTTGTTGCCGGAGACGAAAGGAGTTCCGATTGAGGAGATGGGGAGAGTGTGGAAGGAGCATAGAGTCTGGGGGAAGTATACTC